CTCCTCCCTTCGTCCGGCCTCCGAGCCCTTCGAGACTCTCCACTTGGACGTCTGGGGCCCCGCCCCTCACCCTGGCCCTGAGCGAGAGAGTTTCTTTCTGGTGGTCGTTGACGACTACTCTCGCTACACCACAGTGTTCCCCCTGGCGAAGAAGTCTGAGGTGACTTCTACGTTGATCCGGTGGTTACTTACCACTGCGGACACTCGTGGTTGTCGTGTCAGCTGTCTTCACTCCGACCGTGGGGGTGAGTTTCGCTCTGGCATTCTCGCTGGATTCTGTCGCGAGCAGGGCATCTGTCAGTCCTGGACGCTTCCAGAGTCCCCACAGCAGAATGGGGTTGCTGAGCGCCGCATAGGCTTGGTCATAGAGAATGCACGCACCTCCATGATCCACGCCCGTGCGCCCCATTTTCTGTGGCCCTACGCGGTTCGGTACGCCGCTCACCAGCTGAACCTCTGGCCACGTGTCTCTCGACCAGAGGCTTCACCGACCAGTCTTTGGACCGGGTCCCCTGGTGCTGCGTCGCGTCCCCTGTTCGCGACACCTCCGCGGATAAGCTCTCCCCTCGCGCCCTTCCCTATGTCTTCCTTGGTTTCCCCGAGGACTCCTCTGGCTTCACCTTTTACCACCCTCCCCTTCACCGGTTCTTTGACTCCCGCAACGTTCGTTTTGTTGAGTCCGTCCCCTACTACACCCGGTACCCCTGTCGAGGTCTTTCGGTTCCTCCTCCCCCTCTCTTCCTGACTCCCGCCCCCCCTCCTGCCCCTCCGGTACAGCCCCCCCCCCCTGGTCCATCCCCGTCAGGTGTGTCACACGCTACCCCCCCCCCCCCTCGGTCGCCCCTCAGGTACCATCCCCTTCCCCACAGTCCTCCTCACAGCGTACGGCAGACCCTGCGGGAGCAGGTGCTAGTGTCGAGGACCTTGGGGGTGCTACCTCTGGAGGTGTTGGGGTTGGCGCTGAGACTGTGCCTGCACGAGGCCCTGGTGCTGGGGGTGCTGGAGTTGGAGCTGAGCCCGTGTCTGCTGGAGGTTCTCGTCTTCGGGGAGCTGGTGTTGGTCGAGCCGTCCCTGGGGGTGCTACGACTGGGGGTGCGGGTGCACCCACTGCGGGACCTGGAGAGTCTGGGACTGGCCGTGTTGCTGCTGGTGGTGTTGGCTCTGGGGGTGGTGCGACTGGTGCTTTGGAGAGCGGTCCTGGGGCTACCACCGCCCCGGACACTACTCCTCCCCCCCACCCCTACCCGACCCGGCACCAGACCCGTGTTCGCCGTGCCCATGAGGAGCAGCTGGAGTTGGAGCGAGAGGAGCGAGAGTTGGAGCGGCAGCAGTTAGAGCTACAGCGGCTGGAGGAGCAGCAGCAGGAGCAGCGGTTGCAGCCGGAGCAGGAGCAGCGGCCGCAGCGACAGCCGCCGCAGCAGGAGCAGCAGCCGCAGCTGGAGGAGCAGCCGCAGCAGGAGCAGCCGCAGCCGGAGCAGCAGCAGCAGCAGCAGCAGCCGCCGCAGCAGGAGCAGCAGCAGCAGCCGCCACAGCAGGAGCAGCAGCAGCAGCCGCCGCAGCAGGAGCAGCAGCAGCAACCGCCGCAGCAGGAGCAGCAGCAGCAGCCGCCACCTCCGCCTCCTGTCTCTGGCCTTCGGGCCCTCGGTCTCCCCTCTCCCTCTCCTCCCTCCTCCCCCTCTCCTCCTGTCTACGGTCCCACGTTTCCTCCTCCTGACTACACCCCAGCTGTTTTCCCCCGTTCTCAGCCTTCGTTGTCCCCTCCTCTTTCTCACACTTGGGCTTCTCGTCACTCTCCTCGTGCTCGTCCGTCGTCCCCTGTGCCCTTCACTGACCTTCGTACTGCCTTGTTTCGTTCTAGTCTGCCTCGTTCGTCTCCGTCTGCGCTTCGTTCTCCTCCTGAGTCGGCCTTCACTGCTTCCCTCTCTACTCCTGTCACTGACTACTACCGCACGTACCGTCCTGTTCTCTCTCGTGTTCTCGCCTCTCTTGTTACGGACCCTCGTGCCTCTCTGTCCTCTGTCTCCGCCCTTACTGTCGCCGTCACTGAGTTCGCCACTACTCGCCGCCTTGACTACGCCACTTGCCTCGTGGCTGCTCCTCCTACTAGTCCTCTGGCCGTCGGGGGTGAGACTGCCCTTGGCTGTGACGCCTTAGAGGACATGCAGTTTGAGCTGGAGTTCCTGGCAGCCGCTTCCCCTCATCTCTGTGCCATGCTGCTCGCCCCTGAGGGAGACCCCGACGCCCTTGACATACCTACTCCTCGCACTTACGCTGAGGCAATGTCAGGGCCTTGGGCCTCTCAGTGGAGAGCTGCCATGGACTCAGAGATGGCCTCCTACAGATCCACAGGCACCTACGTCGACGAGGTTCCCCCCCCTGGGGCGAACGTAGTCGATGGCATGTGGATTTTCAGGGTGAAGCGGCCACCGGGATCTCCTCCGGTCTTCAAGGCGCGCTATGTGGCTAGAGGTTTCAGTCAGCGCGAGGGAGTTGACTTCTTTCAGACCTTCGCGCCTACCCCAAAGATGACCACTCTTCGGGTGTTACTGCATGTAGCAGCACAGAGAGACTACGAGCTACACTCTCTTGACTTCTCCACTGCCTTCCTTCAGGGTAGCCTACACGAGGAGGTCTGGTTGCGTCGTCCCTCTGCCTTCACTGGCACTTTCCCTCCTGGGACCCAGTGGAGGCTGAGGCGACCTGTCTACGGTCTCCGTCAGGCTCCTCGTGAGTGGCACGACACCCTTCGTTCTACCCTGTCTGACCTAGGTTTCCAGCCATCTTCTGCTGACCCGTCGCTGTTTGTTCGTCGTGGCTCCACAGTACAGCGCACACCTCTTGCTGTTGACCACAGACTGACCGGACCCTTTCCTTACGAGCCGTTCGAGCCTAGTGGTCCTTACGCTGAGCTTGTGGGCTGCCTCATGTACCTGATGACTTGTACTCGCCCGGAGCTCGCCTTCCCTCTCAGCATCCTTGCTCGCTTTGTTGCGCCAGGGAGACACCGTCCAGTTTACTGGACAGCTGCTGTGAGGGTGGTGAAGTACCTAGCGACGACATCAGGCGTGGGGCTGGTTCTTGGAGGGAGACAGGACGTCGTGCTTACTGGTCACTGTGACTCTTCTTACGCTGACGACGCCGAGACGCACAGGTCTACTCAGGGGTACTGTTTCAGCCTGGGCTCTGGAGCTGTTTCGTGGAGGTCCACACGTTCCTCCTCGGTCTCGACCTCTACTGCTGAGGCCGAGATCTACGCTGGAGCTATGGCTGCACAGGAGCTGCGCTGGCTGACGTTCTTGCTCACTGACCTTGGTGAGCGGCCGAGCTCTGCGCCGACCTTGTTCACTGATAACAAGGCGACGATTCTCCTCTGTCGAGAGCCGCGACTGGAGAGCAGAGTGAAGCACATCAACGTCATGTACTTTCTTCTGCGAGAGTTGCAGAGGCGTGGGCAGGCTCACTTCCACTTTGTGGAGTCCGAGGCCAACACTGCAGACATCTTCACCAAGGCCCTTCCGCCTTGTGACCACTAGAGGTGTTGTTTGCAGTTAGGTCTCGTTGACACAGGTTCTCGCCTTGCGTAGTTGTGGGTTCTTTTTTTTGCTTTGTTTGTACGCTTTATATATACCTCTGTGAACTCTTGAACTGGCCTTGTGGCTCTTTTGCTTGTGCTCAGAGTGTGTGGTGACATTGTGATCCACCCTGAGCTTTGTTGCTTTGTGACTGGTCTTGTGACCGTACGTTGTAGGTTTGCTTGACACCCCTCACTTAGGCTATGGGGGTGTGTTATATGTTATAGCCTTAGTGATGTGTGTCATATGGGGTACAACAGTTAGGGTTAGGTTTATGTACCCCAACCAACCTTAGGTCGTATCCCTGGCTAGTGTCAAGAGTGCATGGAGGACTAGTCCTCCTGGTGTCAGCTAAACCGACCAATCTGATTGCGGGAAATTGCCCAATGCGCCCAACATTGACACCAGGCTGGAGCCGCGTGCGGGCGCGGCTCCACCTGGTGTCAAGCGAATTTCCCGCTTGACACCAACAGTATCTTGACACTAGCCAGGGATACGACCTTAGTCAAGACATCATTCCGTTCCTGACACTTGTACCCACCTTGTTTCTAGTTCATCCATTCTCGCTTACTATTCTGACAGGTACATCGGGTGCATGGGATGAAACGCAGCTGGTCCGCGCTGGACCCCTGAGTTCTGACGCTAACGTAACACCCCCTAACAGGTGCTTGCATGATCAAGGTGTTTATTTGGCCCATGTGATTTATACCCTGATTGTGACATGGTGGAAAATACCGTATTTTCCCGTATATAGGACCTGGGGGAATTTCCAAAATTTCACAAAAAAAAAATGCTAGGGTGAACATTATGGAAGCTGGAACTTGATAAGACCCCCAAACATCTATTTTACTCGAAGAACCCGATTTTTCTATACAATGAACGTTTTTCATCCGAAATCGAGCATCACTCAAAAGCAGTTGCAGTCAAACCTTCGAACTGACACGGTCAACGCGTCAGATTTCGAGTCTGACGCATTGACCGCGTCAGAATGCCACTTTATGCGCCTATTGTCTGATGCGAGAATGTGAAAAGCCCTTCGAACTGCACAGTTTGCACCAAAAGGGGGGTTTTATAATGGTTTATATCAAAAGGGGTGTCCTTACAGATTGGTCTTTAATTAGCGTTCCCACCCCGCAAGTGAGTCCCAGGGGACTCTCTTACGGGAGGGTCCTATATACGGGAAAATACGGCAAATCATCCCTGATTCCCAGGGGTGCAAAACAACCAAGTCTGGGTCCTAACCCCCTCTTCACAAGGCAACCCCTTCTTACGGTACTTTCTCTAAACTCTGCTTTCTATAACTCTGCTTTCTCCACCTCTGCATTCTGTAACTCTGATTTCTCTAACTCTGCTTTCTCTCCAACTCTGCTTTCTCTCTGGTTTCTCTAACTCTGATTTATCTAACTCTAACCATCCCTGCAATCAGCGTTACCTGGGGGCCACATTGCGCAGCACCGCGGACGTAAAAGAGCTGCCCAGCGCCGCCACTTGTATCGACGCCGGCACGTCGGTATAGCTCTGGGTGGCCAGCAGCGTGTTGTTCTCCGTGGCTGACGTGCGGAACGTCTCCACCACACACGCCTGCCCCGTCTCAAACGGCACAAAATCCCTGAATTGGAATGTCGCAGAGTGTGTCGTGTCGCGCTGGTTGGCAATGAAGATGGACACAAAGTGCTGGTCGGGATGGAAGAAGGCTGCAATGCAGTGCTGACACCCATCCGACGTGTCAATTCGGAGGGGCAGGCTTCCCCGCGGCGCCCCCCGCACAAACTGCTGCAGCATGTACAGCTTCTTGGAGATCACCAGATCCAACGGCTTAACTTCCGTGTCGTTCAGGCGATACATCCTGACCGCCAAAAGCCCCCATTTGAGGAAATTGTCCGGGTTGAGCCCTACCCCGTTCACGGCCTGCCAGAAGCTCCAAGCGGAAGCCCCCATGACGTTCACAGCCTGCACTATCTGCCGCGCCGTGAACAGCGACACACCGAGGTCATTCCCGTTTACCCACATCGGCCCCACCTCCGACACCCACACCTCCTTCCCTAGCCCGGTCGCCATGCGGTGCATGCCCACCATCACCCCTTCCATGTACCGCCGAGTATCTGTGCACGTTGAACCGGAACAGACCGGCCTTCACCGCAGCAGGGAACTTGTAGGTGAACCGGAGAGTGGCGCCGACGAAACTGTCAAACCCCGCGACTTTCGTGGGCAGCTTGCGTCTCTGGAGGGTGGCGGTAAGAAGCCGAATGAGAGTGCTCATTTCTTGAGGATTGTAGTTGCACCCCTCGTTTTTCGAACCCTGCGACCACCACCCCTCCAGCGCCTCATTCGCCGGGTTCATGGTGGAGAAAGTCACGTTCCAATGCGTGCGGTAGTGCTCAATCACCGATGCCTGGTACTCCGTGTACGCCTGGAAGAACTCGGGCTTTAAGTTGCACTTGTTCTTGACCGTCCCGGCCGTGTCCCCACTGACGGTCATCCACCAGGGCGGCGTGTATGACACCGCCTCGACTTCGTCCACATTCCGCGCCAGGCCGGCGAGCATCGTCCGCCTCTGCTGCCCGTCCGCCGTCCAATCGTACGGCCCGTTCGGTCGGACGCGGAAGCCGGGGATAGAGCGGGTTTCCCAGGCGGCGGTGAGGAACTGGGGGCTGTTGGTGTAGTTGACACTGCCGCCTATGAGGTAGCGGGCGAGGTTGAGCCCGATGCCCTTGTCCTTGTCAAAGAGCAAGTCCATGATGAGCGTGAACTGGTCGTCTGGTAGCTTGCCCACGTAGTTGGCGAACCTGGAGAATGTGGGAGGGCAGAGGCCAAGGGGCAAGGAGCACGAGGGAACATGAGGGGAATAAGGGAACATGGGGCATGGGGTACGAGGGAACACGGGGCATGGGGTACAAGGGAACACGGGGCATGGGGTATAGGACGTGGGAAAACGAGCGATGGGAAGTCGAGACCAATGCCTTAGGAGCAGATCCATTGTGAGAGGGAAGTGGTCGTCTGGGAGCTTACCCACATAGTTGGCAAACTTGGGGGGAGGCATGGGACAAGAAGCAAGGGGCATTGAGGGAACATGGGGCATGGGACGTGGGTCATGGGTCATGGGATATGGGGTATGGAAAGTGGGTCATGGGGTATGGGGTATGGAACGTGGGATATGGAGGGAACTGGTAGTCTGGTAGCTTGCCCACATAGTTGGCGAACCTGAGAGTATGTGGGGCAAAGGGCACGGGGCAAGGAGCAACGAGCATGAGGACATGGGAGGTTGAGGGTACTGCCCTTGGCCTTGGCCTTGGCCTTGGCCTTGTCACATGGTTAGCGAAGCTGGGAGGTAGGCCAGGGGGCATGTGCACGGGAGGTGCGAACGGGGTTATGGAGCATGGAGTATGGGGCGATGAGGCATGCACGCACGCAGTGGGCTTATCAGCAACTTACCATACGCTCAGCATCTCACCATGCCAGCTCAGAAGCTCACCATGCCAGCTCAGCAACTCACCATGCCAGCGAGGTGCCCCAGCCGTGCCACGTCTGTCCATTCCAGTCAGGGGCGATGGTGATGGTGGAGGGGTCTGGGAGGCGAAGCAAGGAAATGAAAGAGAAAGAAAGACAAGGAAGGAAAAGGAACGGGAAATAAAGGGGAAGAAAGAGAATGAAGGCAAAGGAAAGAGAGACGGGAAGGAGAGAAGTTGGGCCAGCTGCGGCCTCCTCGCCACTTGCAATCCGGGGCGAAAGGAAAGCGTGTCCATTGCAATCCAGGGCGATGGCTCTGTGGAGAGCGCTTAGGGCGGGGGAGGGGATGAGAGCTGAGGAGACGAGAGGTGAGGAGAGGTGAGGAGAGGTGAGGAGAGGAGAGGCGAGGAGAGGAGAGGCGAGGCGAGACGATAGAAGAGAATGGACGATGGGGCCTCGTGTGCGCTGACGTCATGCATGGTCTGCATGGGAACTGACGTCATACTGTGCACGAGCACTTATCATGCTGAATGGCCGGGAACAGGTGAGAAACGCGAGAAGAAGCAGATCAGGATTTCAAAAGGAAGCTGGCGTAACTCTGTCATGCCCCTGTTGCCCAGGCTTGCTCTGACTTGAGGACATGAGGACACGAGAAGTATTGAAACGTATCAAGACACGAAGAGGGTCAAGTGGGGGCATGACTAAGATGCTCTACACAAACTGCGATGCTGGATATAACGAGTACAGTTGGTTGCTACCTGCATTAGCCCAAGATGTCTCTCCCGCTCATCAGCACGCGAAAATGCCTCCATTGCCCCCCCTTTGCCCCCATTGCCCCCCCTTTGCCCCCATTGCCCCCCCCTTTGCCCCCATTGCCCCCCCTTTGCCCCCATTGCCCCCCCTTTGCCCCCATTGCCCCCCCTTTGCCCCCATTGCCCCCCCTTTGCCCCCATTGTCCCCCCTTTGCTCCCATTGCCTCCCCGTTGCCCCGGTTGCCCCCAGTCCAAATCAATGGGAGTACTTCCCCTTTTCCCAGAGTCCTCCTGTTCTTGAAGCATGTAATACAACTCTATATCGCGGATACTTCTCACCTCCAGATCGGCACACGCCAATTATCTCATTCTCGGGTGTCAGCCGCGCCTCGCTCCCCGGGGGCGGAGCGCTCCCCCCATCGCCGCCCCCCCCGTCCGAAGGGGTAGGGGCAGGCGCGGAAGCTTGCGCGATCTCTGCGCCCGCGGAAGTTAAGCTTTGCGCGGTCGCTAGGCGGTGCGAGGAGGAGGAGGCGACGGAAGTTCCGCCTTGCGCCGTCATGCGCGGCCGCCAGCACTCCTGCGCCGGCCAGAGCAGCATCCATTCCGCATCGCACTCGCCCTCACGAGCGTCGGCGGCGGCGGAAGCCGCCAACGAGCGTCCCCTCAAGGCAGAATCCGGCGGTCCCCTCCGGGGCTGCGGAAAATCCGCCTCCTCGTCTACCCCTAGCCGAGCCGCGGAGAGCCGCCCGAACACGTGGCGCTGACGTGGCGACCGCAGGAGCTCGTGCGCTGCGTAACGGGGAGGACCGACGGGGTGAATCAACGGTGGGTGCCACGCGCGGGGCAGCGGAGTGCCGACGCTGGTGCTGTTCGAGTCGCGGTTGTTCACGGGACCTGGGGCAGGTTTTAACTGCGCGCCGATGGCAGCGGCGCGGATGGTTAAGAAAGGCGAGTGGAACGTTGATGAGGAAGCGAGGAGGAAGCTGAGTAGTACTAGTAGTAGGAACGGGAGTGACGGTCGACCGGACCTGGTGCTACTAGGGACCATACTTCAAGCGGTAATGCAGATATTCTGCTACTAAGTTAAAGAGCACCGCCTGGATATGCTCTCGTGTCGCGCGGTCCCGAACAACGAACTGCAACCCTTGCGACGACGCCGCACAGCTTTCACCCTGCCTGCGTTCAATCACTCTGCTTGGATATAGCAAACTCTCCTCTTTCAACTCTGCTCCGCCGTGAATCACTAGTTCTGCTCAAACCTAATTAGGTCGTCATCCGAAGGACTCTCACCACAGCTGCTGCTGTGGTGTGCCGGCCGGCTCATTCGAAATCGATGCACATGAAGTCATGGACTCGTGACGGCGACAAGTACATAACCGTGCACATGGTTTCAATTCAACTATCACCATTGCATGTCCCACGGAAAACATTTCAAGAAGCCTCTGACTGGCAAGCTGTTGACGCTTCCGTTTGTCTGGGATGACGCAGCGTCGTCGGGCTTCTGATTGGTTGGGACGAAAGTAGGGGAGGGACAGACGGAGGTGACCGCCAAGTGATTTTTCGTGCATCCTCGATTTCGTTTGTGGATTCATCGCTTCTTTATCGCGCGCGCCTCTTTTCTCCTCTCACTGGTTGGGGGACTTTCACCTTTCCCGTTCTGACTCACCTCACGATCACGATAGTTGTGTCCGAAATGTTTGGCGAACACCTGTCAGGGTAACCGATCCAAAGCGCAAATGTTCGAGCATTTCGTTGATTGAAACAGCCACAAAGCTGTTTTGGCATAGTAGTACTAGTAGGAAGAGCTCTTAGGAGAATTTCAGAAAGATAGTAGCAAGATAGCTTTACAAGATCATATGATGGCTTACATTTCAGAGATACATCCTAATATACTAGGATACTAGCAAGGGCGCCTCGAGCAGGTCGCTCAGGTCGCCTATCATCTTCCTAGAGCTAAGGACAGCAAGGCATAGTCATTATGATTATGTACAAGACATACTAGCCTTGTTGTCATATCCTAGAACCAATAAGCATAGCCTAGGAATTCACTAAGGTAATGGGCAGAGATTATTTGTCTTGTTGTCGTCCATGGTGTCGTTGATAATGATGACCACGAGCTCTGTTGGAAGTAGCCATGGCTGTAGGAAAGTATGCTTGCTTGTGCTGTCAAATACTTTGCTGCGCTGTTGGAGTTCTCTGCCCCGTTGTGTCCAGCACTAGTAGTATGCTCTCTGGAGTTGTTCCCACGGTTGGAAACTCAGAATTACGAGCCGCACAATTCAATGTTGGATTCCAACATTGAATTCCCGAAATGTACTTAGGGTGTGTTCCGAATTCTGGTTCGGATCACAAGGAGCTGAGTTGGCGAAATCGAGGATGACGAGATCGCCTTCGTCTTGTTACATTACTCCCCTCTCCAGCAAGCACCGTCCTCGGTGCTTGAGCAGATGCAAGGTAGCTCTGAAGGGCTCTCTGGGCATTCTGAAGGCTTGTCTCGGGTATCCAGAGGTTGTGAGAGGAGTCTTTCCCACGCCACTTAACAAGGAAGTAAGTGCCGCGAGGAGAGGTTTCATGGGACAGATTTTTTTCAACTTCGAAGAGATCAGGGTTTGATGTGAACATAGGAGGACGAGGAGGCAGAGGTAAGAGGGGGAAATGGGCTGGAGGAATGTGGTAAGGACGTAGCAGCTGAACGTGAAAAACAGGGTGTATGTTGATGTGAGGTGGAAGTTTCAAATGGTAGGTGAGAGGAGAGAGAACTTGGGTGATGGTGAAAGGGTTGATGAAACGAGGTGCAAGCTTACGAGTGAGACCTTTCTGCAGCAAGGGAAGGTTTGTGGTGGAGAGAAGGACTTGGTCACCTACGTGGAATTGGATGTCACGTCGGTGTTGATCGGCATAGCGGATCATTCGGTGTTGAGATTTCAGTAAGGAAGCGCGTGCTGCTGCAATGGTCTTTTCCCGAGTGGAGAGGAATTCGGCTGCTGGTTTGGTGTCACTGCTGCGTACGAGAGAAGCTGGTGTGCGTGGCTGCTGCCCTGTTGCGAGGAAGAAAGGGGTTTGTCCCGTGGCAAGGTTCACCGTGTTGTTGTAGGAGAATTCGATTGAGGGCAGATGCTGGTCCCAATCATTTTGCCGTGCACTCACGCATGCACGCAGGGCATCTTCACGGGTTCGATTCATCCTCTCGGTCTGCCCATCGGACTGAGGATGGTAGGCAGTGGAGAGACGAATCTTGGTGCCCAATCTGTTGAAAAGGGACTGCCAAAATCTGCCAACAAACCAAGAATCACGGTCACTGATTAGTACGGAAGGAATGCCATGGAGACGTACCACCTCGTTGAAGAAGAGATCAGCAACGTTCTCAGCTGTAGCGGTGGTGGAGGTAGGGAGGAAGTGTGCCATCTTGCTGAGTTTGTCTACCACGGTGAGGAAAGCGTTGTGATGGGAGGAGGTGCGAGGCAGATCTGTGATGAAGTCGAGTGTCACATGAGTCCATGGGAGCTGAGGGATTTCCAAGGGGTGTAGCAGGCCGTAGGGTGCTGCGTTGCGAGCCTTGTTGCACTGGCATGTGTGGCAGCTGCGTACGTAGGAGCGGACGTCTCGAGAGAGCTTGGGCCAGAAGAAGTTGGAAGAGATGGCTGCAAGCGTTTTGTCCACTCCGAAGTGCCCATTCTGGTCATGATGCTCGCGTAGCAGGAGATGACGAAGCTTGCGCTCTGCGGGGACGCAGATGACTCGGGAATCTGCCTTATACCAAAAGGGGGATTCGTAGAAGACAGATTTAAGCGGCATAGTAGAGATAGAAACGGTCACGACGATACCCATCGGTGAATTTCTTGATGAAGCTTTCGTCCCATGTGACGCTTCCGATGGTGGTGAGCTGAGGTTGAGGAGGCCGGGTCAAAGAATCAGCAGGGTTGAGGCGGCCAGCGCGGTATTCGATTTTCAGCTCCGGTACGTACTGTTCCAGGTACTCCATCCATCGGGCCTGCCTCGGGGTGAGATGGGGCTGCGTCTTCAGGTATTGCAGGGTGCAGTGATCGGTTAAGACAGTGACGGGCTGCATGTGAACATAGCAGCGCCACTTCTTGATTGCATGGACGATGGCCAGCGCCTCGCGATCGTGAGTTGCATAGTTGCACTCGGCAGGTTTGAGTTTCCGGGACTCGAAGGCGATAGGCTGAAGGCCATGCCCTTGATCTTGACAAAGGATTGCACCCGTTGCAACCTGAGACGCATCTGTCCATATCACGTAGGGAAGGGAGGGGTTGGGTAGGGCTAGAGTAGGAGAAGAGGTTAGTGCACACTTGAGAGCATTGAAGGCAGTTTGCTGGTCAGAGTTCCAATGGAATGGTTCATTCTTGCAAAGAAGGTTGGATAGGGGAGAGGTGATGGCAGCAAAGAGTCGAATGAACTTGCGGTAGTAGTTGGCAAGACCAAGGAAGGCTTGCACTTCCTTGATAGAGGTTGGCTCCTTCCATTCTCTGATGGCGTTGACTTTGGAAGGGTCCATAGCAAGCTGGTTGTGTGAGATAATGTGGCCCAAGAAAGGAATCGAGGGCTTGGCGAACTCACACTTGCTCTCTTTGGCAAAGAGACGATGCTCACGAAGCCGTGTGAAGACTTGCCTTAGATGCTCGGCGTGTTCCTTCAAGGATTTGCTATAAATCAGAATGTCATCGATGAAGATGATGACAAACCGGTCCAAGAAATCCCGAAAGACACTGTGCATCAAGGACATGAAGGTGGCAGGGGCATTCGTTAGTCCGAAAGGAAGCACGAGAAACTCGAAATGCCCATACCGTGTTCGAAAGGCGGTTTTCTCGATGTCTTCGTCAGCGACACGCACTTGATGGTAACCGCTTCGTAGGTCCAGCTTGCTGAAAATTGTGGCCTCACCAAGTTGATCAAAGAGTTCTTCTACTCGAGGTAGCGGGTAGCGATTCTTGACGGTGATTTTGTTGAGCGCACGGTAGTCAACACACATGCGCATGCTGCCATCCTTCTTTTTGACGAAGAGAATTGGTGCTGCATAGGGAGAGGAGCTGACACGGATGAAACCCTTCTCAAGAAGCTCCTCCAACTGCTTCTGAACTTCTTTCAGCTCGGCAGCACTCATCCGGTACGTAGCACAAACGGTAGGTTCAGCACCGGGTTGTAAGATGATGCGGTGATCGATGGCACGCTTCGGAGGAAGTGAAGAGGGAAGATCAGCAGGGAAGATGTCTTTAAACTCATTGACAACCTGTTGAATTTCAGAAGGGATTTCAGCAGCCTTGGGAGGGGAAAGGAGAATAGGAGTTTCTGAAATTTGATTAAAAAAACAGAGGAAGAATTGAGAGCTTGGGTCATTGAGATATTTTTTCAGTTGCCGTTTCGAGAGGATGTTGCAGCAAGTAGAGGTAGAGGAGGAGGAGGAGAAGGTAGGTAAGGTGATGTCTCTTCCAGAGTGAGAGATGGTGACGGTTCCAAGAGTCCAATCAATCTTGGGGTTTTTTAGGGAAAGCCAGTCACGTCCAAGAATCACTTCATGGTCTCCGAGAGATGCTTGCTGAAACTGAATCTTGTCTCTGTTAGGTCCGATTGTACATGAAACAGGGAATGGTACTTGTCCACATGAAATCGAGGTTCCGTTCGCCATCAGCACTGTTTGAGGTATGGAATCAGGTTGAGTTGGAAGAGAAAGCTTGGAGAGTAGAGAGGAGGAGATGAAGTTAGAAGAAGCACCACTGTCAACTAGAGCTTTCACTTTCTGACCACGAATCAGCATGGAAAGGAGAAGAGGTTCAGAGGGGTTACGACTTTCAAGGGAAGAGATGGTGGGGCAGGCATAGTCACCAGAAAGTTGCCCCGAGTTTACTGGCGACTTGAGTTTCCCGGCGTTGGAAGGATGGGAGGCTGATTGGTGCGTTGGCGGCAGACCTTCCACACGTGCCCTTTCTTGCCGCACTTGTAACACACGATGGCTGGCCTCGGGTTTCTCTTTCTCTTCTCCATCAGGTCCAGGTCCATAGGAGCAGATTCTTGAAGATTGGAGTCAGTTGG